AAAAACAAAAAACAATTTACGATCATGGATTAACAAAACAATTCGATCATGGATTACAAAAAATTCTAATCATGGGTTAACAAAAAAAAAAAAAATACAAATTCGATCATGGATTCAAAAAAATCGAATCAACTATTACAAAAAAATCTATCATGGATTACATTAAAAAAAAAAAAAAAAAAAAAAAAAAAAAAAAAAAACCGTATGGGACTCGCCGATTCCGTACAGTGAATCGGCGAGTCCTATGCAGAATCGTCCGATTCTCTCTAGAGCCAGACGATTCCCGTTTTTTTCGCCGATTCGATCCGTTTTTGGCGATTCTCGAGTCAAACCGGGCGAGTCCGGTTCGACTCGGCGTTTATTTAAACACCGGTAATAACAATATTATTATTATTAAAAATATTCATTATTTAAATAGTATTAAAATAATTTTTACTTTAGTAAAGTTTTATTATAATAGTAATATTATGAGCTATTTCGGTTGCGCTGTAGCATATGATACAGAGACAACCGTGTCCAAGGATCAGATCATGTTTCGTCGCTTGGTGGACAAGGACACGTGTTGACATTCTTGGATATGGATCCAACAACTCTATTAAGTGTCCACTTTTGTATCCTTTTTTAGGTATATATTTTTCTTGAAAATGATATTTCTTTGTTTAGAAAGTTTATTTTCCCTTGAAAAGTATTTTATTTTAAAAGTAAAAAGAATTTTCGAATAAAATAACTAGTTTAGAATAAAATAAATAAATATTTTTATTTGTTAAATTTGGTTTCTCGTGGCTATAAATAAAAATACGTATTTCTTTAATCTACCATGAAACGCTTTAGGGTTTCTCCCTCTCCAAGTTGTAGACCACTGGATATTCATCTCTCTACTTCAACTTTTATTTATTTACTTCTTGATGTGCCTTGTGTCATATAAAATATTAGTTGTTGCCAAATCTTTTTTGCCATTAATAGCATAAATTTATTGTACATTGTCTTATCCTAGCAATTGACTTTATTTGTTCTAAAAGCTTGTACAGGTACTTTAATATTCTTTAAATTTGGTTGTACTTTTCTTTTCATATTGTTATGTATAACGTTGGATTCGTCTATAAGAAATTTAATGAATAACTCAAATTCACAAACTAAACTATTTTAGATTATTAATATATATTTTTTAAATTTATTTGATGCTCTACTATTGTTGTATGACGTGAATTTTTGTATACGTAAATACATATGCAAACGACTCATAGATTTTCATGTAGGAAAGAATTTATATAAGTGCCAGGCTTTAAACAATCAAATTAAGGCACACCTTCAAACTCTCACTAGAAGAGGTTGTGTGGATGCCCAAAAATCTTCAAACTGATCATCTCGACCTCCAGATTTATGGACATAAAGAAAAATGAATTTCAATTTTTGGAAATAGTACGTCTTGTAATACATTTTTTGCACATCAATTTTCAAGATTTTCAAGTATTTATAGATCTGCTCGATTTACAATATTTTTGAAAATTTAAATTTTTATAATTAGATATAAAAATGAATTTTCTAGCCATCACGAAGATTTCCAGTATTGAAACTAGATCTTTTGACACTATTTGAAAGTACATTTTACTTTGACTACATCTTTTGATACTATTTGAAAGTACGTTTTACTTTGATTGTTTAGAGCCTCGGCCTTATACAAACCATGCCCTTTAATATATGTATATATAGATCATAAATACACATGCATATGCATATCTATGTAGACACTCGTGTCTGTATCATAAATAGACATGCATACGCATATCTATGTAACATATGTGTATATGTAGATAATTTTATATTGTACTATTTTGAGGTTTATATTTCTGACACTCCTATCCGTATCATAAATAGACATGCATGTAGCATAATTTTATAATGTACTTTTTTGGGGTTTATATTTATGACACTTATATTGTACATTTTTTGGATTTACATTTCTGATACTCGTATCCGTATCATAAATAGACATGCATGTAGCATAATTTTATATTGTACTTTTTTGAGGTTTATATTTCTGACATTCCTATTTGTATATCCTTATCATAAATAAACATGCATGTAGCATAGCCGTAGCTCGGTCAAAACATTTTCCAATAGACATGCATGTAGCATAGGCTGCAGCTCGGTCAAAACATTTTCCAATTTTTTAATATATTGACAGTGGGAATGGAGGGTGGTAGTACATTATGTGAAGATATACGCCCCCGTAACCACCAATTAAGTAGATAGGATTTGTTCATCACAATTAAGAAATTGCAGCATATAAATGAACCTTCTACTTTATCTACTGATTCATTAGCCTTTGATGTAGCATTAACTATTCAAAAGCCAATAGCCATTTGATCAAACCTTGAATTTTTTATTTGTTTATTTGGTTTGCGGCCATATGAATCTGAAATTCATTAGATTTAAATTGAAGAAAGAACTGAGGGAGTGAAAAATATACCCACGATTGACTTCTTCATTGAGAGTTTCAAGTACATTATCGATGCCTCCATATTGAATGCCTGTTACAATACCTTCGGGCTTAGACAATGTTAAGTTCACGATGCCATTGTCCAACACCACCTAATCAAGGGAAAATCGACTCTGCTTAGTCAAACAAACTATTGCTTGATTCCAACCACTAATGATGTTCAATGAAAAAATAAGGATCAGAAATTCACAAGGAATCTGGGATTTGACATCTAGATGTTGCACATTAGAATATGAAAGAAAAAAATAAAGGTTTGAAAAGTAGAATAAAAGCGAAAGCAACCTTCAAAAGTCCAAATATACTTAAAAAGTATAGGAAAAATAAGATCTCAAAATGGATGAGGTTTGTATAAGGTGCCCACCATATGTAAGTAAGGCACACTTTTAAATTTTGCAGGAAGATGTAGATAAAGTGCTCGATCCTTATATCGAGGTTAAGATGATCAATTGAAAGGTTTTCTAACTTTGTAGCACTCTTTTATAGTTGAGTTTTTAAATGATCTTACTTCTATAGTAAAAGGGTGTCACCTTAAATAAATTTTTTAAAGAAAAAATTGATTTATAGTTGGGGACATTTCAAAAATAAATATAAAAATAAAATATTAAAATAGGAATTATTGTAAAAACAATACTCACCAATCTATATACCAAAAACATCCGAATCATATACACGGAATATTTACAACATAACCACATTTTTATACTTTTTTTTATTTTCTTGGAATTTCTCTATGTACTCTGATTTGTATGCACAACTTTGGATAACTCGGCCTTGTCCTATGTCTCAAATCAAGGAGCCAAAGCGCCCTTGAGTGGTAGTAAACCAAATGGGAACTATTTATGCATTGGTTATCTCGGACAAAAGACCTACTTGGGAGGATTGTTTTTTAACAAAATATTTTAGAAACCACATCAAAATCACCATATGAGTATTCTCACAAAAAAAAAAAAAAAATTCGAATTTTGACTTACTGAGTACTTAGATCTGTATCATTTTTCCTATCTTTAGGTTGCATTCCCAAAATTTGGGGTCCCATGAATGATCCTATATAAGGTCTTACAAGAGGGGCTGAATCTCATAATATGCCAATTTGGGGGCGTAGATTCTTTTGACAATATAGCATATTTAGCGCATATGGCATGGTGGAGCGTACTGTATATTAACTCCTTCAGGAAATAGCTACTTGGGAGGAACTTTTTGAAATGAAGTGTAAAGATCTACCTAAGAATCACGTTTAACGAAAAGGATGAAATCTTTGTTTCTTTTTTTTTTTTTTCTTTTTTTTTTTGGTTGTGAAATGTAACGAAAGGATGAAATCTTGGGATCGGTCTAACATCATTAGATAATTATTGGAAAAAAAAAAAAAGATATTAAATTTTTAGTTCTTCAATACTTACATTTTGTTCAACAAAAATTAGACGGCCCCTTTTCAATATTGGGGTGTTAGTTTTTTCACACATAGTATGCCATTTGATTTTTATGCCCTCTGATTTTTATTTTTGATTAAAGATGCTTCCTAGGTTCAATGGATAACATAGAAACTTTGGGATGCTAAAAATACTCATACATTTAGGGTTTCAACAAAGGGAGCAAATGGACAACATACACAAACGGGAGAAGCAAATATTTTCACATACATATAAAAATATATATTATAAATGAACAGTCAAATCTCAATTCCTCTAACAGTGTAAAGCAAAAGCTTTGAACACAGATTCCGGTACAGATTTGGCAAAGAAATCTATGAAGTAAGGTCACATGCTATACCACCAAAGAAATTAGGGGTGGCAACGGCCCAGGCCACCCTTGGCCTTTGCTTCATAGGGCCGGCCCAAGCTTGGGCCTGCCTTAATTGGGCTAAAATCTTTTGTTTTATTTTTAGTTTTATTTGACCTATGGCCAAATAAAATTAAAAATAAAATAAAAAAGAAAAAAAAAAAAGTGTCGAGCCTGGTTGAACCAGGCCAGCCTTGACTTAGGCCTGGCATGGCCCTACATTTAGGCCATAATTGCCCGACGCTCAAGCCACATTTCTTGGCCCAAGCCCTAGTTTTCTAGCTCTGGTCCGTGCCCGGCCGGCTTAACATGCCCATTGCCACCCTTAGTTAAGGCAAATATAAGAGAAACCCACTATTGGTCTGGCTTCCAACCTAAAAAACACCAAAATTAAAGAAAAAGTAAATTTCAACATACATAGTGGTCTTCCGTGAGTAGTTTTACTCCAAATATCGACATTTTCCTGGTTCTTCTACCCTATATGGAAAGGAAGACAAAGCTGCACTATTCTTTTGAGATAAAATTTTGCAAATAGTTGGAACAAGGCTTCGATTATGAAAACGATGATGACGACCTCATCGGAAAACGAAATCATACACGATGAAATGTGATCGCTTCAGCATGGGAGAAGCAAATTTATAGAGGTTCAACCTTACTTGGATTGCAAACAAAGCATGGTCTCTAACTCTTCACTTTTAATAATTTTTAGTTATTGGTATATCCTCTCTGTCGTGTGGCTTCACGGGTGTCTTTGAAGCTAAGGATCCGTATCAGGGGAACATTCCTCCTCCACGAGATTACGGTGGGCGGTAGGAGGGGACGTCAGTTGTGAAAGTTAGATGAAAACTCAAGTAAGCAGTAGTCCTTCAAAGTTTCATTAATAAATTTAAATAAATTAAGCACCTTTGACAAATATAAGGGGAAAGCTTTCTATACTTCTCTTAATAGTTATATATTTTCCTTATTTGGCTACTAGATTTGAATGAACGGCTGAGATGGATTCAATTTCAATATCATGCCTCTACACTGTTTTATTATTAATTATTTTCGAAAAAATATTTTAACACCAAATTTGGATGTCCAGTCCTCTCTTAAACTTGTACATGAAAAAATATAAAAAAATACCCAATAAAATAAAATAGCCAAAATACCCCTATAAGATTCAAGGGTATTTTTGGTTATTTTATTTTATTAAAAATATTTTCTTTTATATTTGTTTTAGGGGCACCCCATTGAGATGATGGAAAATACCAAATTTGATATTTATATAATTTGTAGAATAAAAATTTAAAAAATCTTCTGAGACGTATCTAGATCAAACGGTCAATCGCTTATTTGATTTAAGCTTGGACAGCTCGATGGAGGAGTAGTATAGAACTTTCTATACATTGGGGGGAAGGGAGGGGGAGGGGAGAGTATATAAACCTTTCATTAGAGCCGAGGCTCTAAGCATTCAAATTAGAGCCTACCTCAAAAATTTCACTAGAAGAGGTTGTTTTGATAGCCAAATATTCTCAAATTGATCATCTTGATATCAATATACATGGATATGAGAAAAATTGAATTTCAAGTTTTGAAAATAATATATTTTGTAATGCAAGATTTTGAAGTTTTCAAAGATCTGTCGATCTACACTATTTTGAAGACTTAAACTTTATAAATAAAGATGAAAACATATTGAAAGGCTACTTGAAACCACATTACTCAACACTATATACTATTTTTGAAGACTTAAAACTTTATAAATAAAGATGAAAACATATTAAAAGGCTACTTGAAACCACATTACTCAACACTATTTGAAAGTAGGCCGTAAACTCTATACAAACCGCACCCAATACAAATATAAATATTCTATTTCTTCATAATGAGACCCTTGTTTATTTATTATTTATTTGTAAATAGAAACATCACAAGCGGCTCAATGAGGAAAGCACGGGTGGGTTGTGTCATTTCACCTCACATCTGAGGGCAGATTTCACGCCGGTTGGGTGATTATCACCTTTTCACATCATTAAAAAAACAATAGTTTTATTGCATGTGAGGGAGTTTCATCTAAGTAGTAGAACAGTATTAGGTCACGGATTTTTATGAGTCGGCAGACTTATATGTAGATACGTTCCTTCTCTTTATAATGCATGTTTTGAGATGGATTTTGAATTTCATTTTTTGGGAATATATAATCTTTAACAAATGGAGCATGAGTATGTAAAAATAAATAAATTTTGAAATTAAAAATGACATTTTTTTAATAATAAATGTGGACCATTGATTTTATTTTTATATAGGACGAACACTTTTTCACATACATAGTATAGATGTGTGATGTGTTAGGGGATTCACATGTAGAATTGCATCCCTTGGCTTTTTCTAAAGTAAAAAAAGTAAATAGTTTATTTGCATGTGAGGGAGCCTAATCTGTGGCCAGTCGAATATTCTATTAACAAAGGATAGTTTTATTCCATGTGAGGAAGCTTAATCAGTGGGCAGTTGAACATTGTATTAAAGGGATAAATAGTTATATTGCATGTGAAGGAGCTTCATCAACAGGCAGTCGAACATTTAAAGAAAAGTTAAATAGTTTTAATACATATGAGGAAGCTTCATCAATGGATACATTAAAAAAAGTAAATAGTTTCATTGCACGAGAGGGAGCTTCATCAGTGGACAGTCAAACATCATAGTAAAAAATTAAATAATTTAATTATCTAGGTAAACAACTTTATTGCATGTAAGGGAGCAATTGGAAATATGACCTATCAAGCCCTTTCCTTCTATATGACGTAAAATGGCTTAGATCTAGGTGCAAACCTGGATTGGCTAACCATGCTACCGTTTTAGGGCGATGGCATGGAAGGCACAAAACATCTTCCAATAACCCCCATGGTACCATCCGCTACCATGAGTAAAAGTTTCAAAAGAAAAGGGCACAGTGAAAACCTGTAAAGGCATCGTGAGAAAAACTGTAAAGAAAAGAAAACGCAGACATGGTGTAACAACCATAGGTACAAGTACCACAAAAAAAACTCCTAATGGGGTTTTGTGAAAAACAAAAATGACACACATCCTAAGGGCTTGATAAAAACCCAAAAAGAATTTCAAGTCAAGAAGAATGGGGTAGAAAGATCTTCTATGAGAAGCACCTCCAACATCTTCCCATTCTTTCAAGGAGACAAAGGCAAACTATACAAGAAGACAAAGGTAAAAGAGATTACAAGCCACAAAGCAAAAGAAATAAGCAAAGCAAAGGAAAAAAGGGGCATTCACTCCACAAGTAAAGGGGTTAGAAGTTATGGTCCATGATCTCAAAGCCGAAAGATAAAGGAAGAGAGGCAATGAAAAGTGAGGAAACCAAAAGCCCCTTAAAAGTTATTAAAGACCTCATGAATCTTCGCCATCGTCATCTCAAAATGCTTTCAGGCTGCTTTCACATGCTCCCTGAGGTTGTCTGCAATTGCGGTAAGCCGCTCGACTGATGCATTCGCCACCCTCATGTTAGATCCAAGCTTGGTCTACTTCTCACCAGGCCTTGCTTTACTCTTGCCACCGAGTCAATTTTGCCCTTTGCTCATTATGTGAGCACATATCTTCACCATCTTTTCCCTCATGGCCTTCAACTCTGCTATGCAGGTAGTGCGACGCGTCTTGAGGTTGGTTTTTTGAGAAATGATGGCAGTTTGCATATGAGCATAGTCAACTATCAATCCATGGTGTTGAGCAAGTGTGTCCTCTATGAAAGTTAGCTTAGAACCACTCAACTCATGTAATTTTGAGTTGCTCCTTATTGCCATCACTCTCCACCATTCCAGGTATCTAAAATATCTCGAAAATGAGCATAAGAAGTTTTCTCAAAGCCATAGCCTGCCATGGCAGCCACATACTCACAAAGGTCAGCAATCCCCCTCTCAATATCAGGAAAGGGTACCCTATTAATTGCTGAAGGCCACCTCTCAATAGCCCTATCACCATGGAGGATCGTGCATCTAGTGGGGGATCTGATGCCAAATGACCTAGGGCAGAAGTAACCTTTACCAAAGGAGTGACAGCGGTGGTTATCTTTTACTTAAATATTAATGGCAAGAGCCGCATCCATGGGCACATCAATGTCAGAGGCTAAGAAGCTAGCCCGCATCAACATCACTGTCCTACTCAGCAGCTTTATCTAATGCATCTGATCACTCAAAGCTCATTAACCCAATTGATGAATCGGCCGGAGATTACGTGAACAGGCCATCAATCTCAAAAGGAACCAGCATGCCCTTGCTCGAGGACTCGACCACGATGTCATCAGCTGTCACCTTGATAACATGGACAAATTCCACCCTAGGAGCAGGACTACCCTCTTCTTGGAGACAACTCAAATCAAAGGTGAAATGGCATGAAGGAACCGAAAAAGTGATAACTGGCTCAAAAACAGGCACTTATGCCTCATGAGCTAAGGAGGCTGCCTCTAGTGATGAAGGTGGACTGGGAGACACCAAGCATTTCACATGCTTAATGGACTTTAGAGGTTTTAGACGTAGGTCACGAGCTCTACCTGGGGCAGGTCAAATAGAACAAGTTGGACTCAAGCATGACGGACCAGTTGATCTCGCTTCGTCTATTGGACACTCTTCTGTAAGATTGCAAGCTCTGATGCAGCCTCAGGTTCAGGGTCTCCCAAGATTCCCTTCTTCTTCTTCTTCTTCTTCCCTTTTTTGGCCATGGCCTCCCTATCATGATAATCATAGGGGCGAATGGCAATGGGAGCGGAATGAGGACCATAGCCTATCAAGGCATTCAAATCCTGTGTGGGTCGTCCTTCGGCCCCACGAACAACACGGCCCTCATCCCACTCAAAGATAGAGCAAGGTCGTTAAAGAGGAACTTAGTCTCACCCTCGAGAGAAAGAAGCTGATGTGAAGTCTCATCAACTGCTTGGGATAGTTGATCTTGAAAATCTTCATGAAAGTAGGTGGAGCAAAGTTCCTCTTGTGCTTTGTCTCCCATGTCGGAGGGGTATTGGCACCCGTCCAGGGATGGACTGCTAGCCAATATGAATGGTTTGTAAGGTTCCCCAACCCCAATAAGCCTCGGTAGCATGACCGATGCGACCATGTGTGGAAAAATGAACTTGTTCATTCTAGTAAAGTCAAGACATGTGGACCAAACCGTCCTCTTGTGATCATCCTTCTATGCTTCGTACCTTACACCAAGGGTGTTCTTACTCTTTAAGGCTCCCACTTTCCCGTATTGCATTTCGAAAAGCGTGGAATACGAGCACCCATGATCAAGACTATGCTGGCGTGCAAATCAATAGGGATAATATGCCTTACGCTTCCTGTCACTGACCGATCGAAAAGCTAAGATGCACCCCTTGACACTCAAAAGGTATATCAACTTGCGATCTCAGTAGGGGATCCATCAAGCACATGGCCAAAGGTGTCAACAAACACAAGATCAATGGAACTGCCAATGGGGAAGGGTCCCGTGCATATAAAGGAGTCCCCAGGAAAGAGATTTTGTGCATGACTGGCGCTATGAAACTAGGATTTCTTCCTAATAATCCTCATGAGTTGGGGGCAAGCAAACTGCGTCAAGGCCTCGTTTATCA